TTAGTGCCATTCATTGTGAATTAAAAAACATAAACGTGCAGAGCTGTTAAAACCAATAAATAAATACATATATGAACATGTAAGAAAGTGCACACAAGTATATAAAGTGACACTGTGCATCTATGTATGTGCCACTAGAATATGTGGCCAATATAAACGTGAAAGAAAACACTGTGTCTAAAACATAAGTCCAGAGTGCAGGCGTGAACGAGATCTCAAATGATCTTCTGGTATCCAAAAGACACAGATTGTGGATAAGGTGAGACAATTAAAGCGTAGATTGCGCACTCACCAGATACGCAATCTTTTTGCGCATTTGTATGATATAATAAGGACATCAGACTTCAGACATCTCATCAAAAAGGTCTGGTCAGATCTGGTCAAAGCCTCCTTCGCTATCCCACGGTTTGCACTTAGCCTTCCCAAATGGTAACCACTCTGCGGATGTACCTGGCTCCCACAGGAGCTCAGAAAGAAACAACAGAGGAGGCCAGCAGTGCAATATTGCCTTAGCATGTTTATTCCACACAATGGGTATGTATACAGCAAGAAAGCAACAAAAATAGATTACTGACCCATTGTAAGCTGCCGCCGGGACCCCTTGTGGTGCCGGCGGTAAGGCGTCAAAACAGCTAAAGCCCGACTGACGCGTTTTGAGTAAGTGCTCTTAGTCATAGGGTGTCCTGGCCATCATGTGTTGAAATCACATCATTTTTGATGAGATGTCTGAAGTCTGATGTCCTTATTATATCATACAAATGCGCAAAAAGGTTGCGTATCTGGTGAGTGCGCAATCTACACTTTAATTGTCTTACCTTATCCACAATCTGTGTCTTTTGGATACCAGAAGATCATTTGAGATCTTGTTCACGCCTGCACTCTGGACTTATGTTTTAGACACAGTGTTTTCTTTCACGTTTATATTGGCCACATATTCTAGTGGCACATACACATAGATGCACAGTGTCACTATATATTTGTGTGCACTTTCTTACATGTTTATATATGTATTTATTTATTGGTTTTAACAGCGCTGCACGTTTATGTTTTTTATCTGTTTTAGAGGTCTTATATGGTGCCTTTTGTGTACAGCTGCTGTAATCTGGGAATTGATAGACTGGAAGGCGCTCACTTATGCAGGCCATAGATGGGGAGAAAAACTGCAGATTTTTCTTTTAAAAAACGAAAAAAATTGGTTGTTCAAGTGGCCGACGTTACCATCAATGGTAAAAAAAAATCGTCCGATTTTCTACCCGTCTAGAGCCGGCAAAAAGTGTCCCTGCAGAGAGCTCTGCTATTTCTTTGACAGTTCTCTGACAGTTCCTTGACATTTATAGAAGTTGCAACAATGTATCTATTTGTTTCCATTTAGGATACAGATGTTTTTATTCGGAAACAAATAGATACAATGTTTCAACCGCTGTAAATGTCAAGGAACTGTCAGAAATAGCGGAGCTCTCTGCAGGGACACTTTTTGCTGGACTGGAATTCTTCTTATTTTCATCCTACTTCTTCTTCTTCTTCTTCTTCATCCTCATCCTCATCCTCTTCTTCATCATCCTCATCCTCTTCTTCCTCTTCTTCTTCTTCTTCTTCATCCTCATCCTCATCCTCTTCTTCTTCTTCTTCTTCATCCTCATCCTCTTCTTCATCCTCATCCTCTCTTCTTCTTCTTCTTCTTCTTCATCCTCATCCTCTTCTTCATCCTCATCCTCTTCTTCTTCATCATCCTCATCCTCTTCTTCTCTTCTTCTTCTTCTTCTTCTCATCCTCATCCTCTTCTTCTTCATCATCCTCATCCTCTTCTTCTTCTGCATCCTCATCCTATTCTTCTTCTTCTTCTTCATCATCATCATCCTCATCCTCTTCTTCATCCTCATCTTCTTCTTCTTCTGCATCCTCATCCTATTCTTCTTCTTCATCATCATCCTCACCCTCTTCTTCTTCATCATCATCCTCGTCCTCTTCTTCTTCATCCTCATCCTCCTCCTCTTCTTCTTCTTCTTCATCCTCTTCTTCATCCTCATCCTCTTCTTCTTCATCATCATCATCCTCATCTCTTCTTCTTTCTTCTTCTTCTTCATCCTCATCCTCTTCTTCATCTTCTTCATCCTCATCCTCTTCTTCTTCCTCATCCTCTTCTTCTTCCTCATCCTCATCCTCTTCTTCTTCATCCTCTTCTTCTTCCTCTTCTTCTTCTTCATCCTCTTCTTCATCGTCTTCCTCTTCTTCTTTTTCTTCTTTTTGTCTTCCTCTTGCAGGTCACTGCTCATGCGCAGATTTTTTATCGGTAAAAAAATCGGCCGATTTGCCCACTAATTGCCGCGAAAATCGGCCGATCGGCAAAATCGGACGATTTTTTTTTTCCAACTTTACCGAAAAAAAAAACCGGCCAAAATACCGAAAAACGGCCGACCAAATCGCCCACTAACGATCCGAAAATCGGCCGATTTTATTTTCGGCCGAAAAATCGGCCGATTTTCGACCCATCTATGGCCTGCATTACTTTATATGTTTTTATTAATTGTGAATTACATCACTTTTATTGGCCAGAGTGCTTGCCACTGAAATGAATAAACGCCGAAGCAGTAAACGTTGCTAGCACTTAGGCTCGTTTATGTGTGTTTTTGCAGAGTTTAGTGTTTTTTTCCCAAAGCGTTCCTCTCCTGCACACAATTTTTCTGCGTTCAAGAGAGGGACGTTTAACTGCCCCTAAACTCTGCTGCTACTAGACTGATAAAAGACTAGGTTTGCATGGAAACATAAGCTTTTAAGGAGTTAAGAGGCTTTGGCAAAAAAATGCCAAAAGCTCCTAAAATCACATTAACCTCCCTGGCGGTATTCCTGAGTGTAGCTCGGGGTTAAGTTTCATACCGAAAGGGGTAACCCCGAGCAACGGATCAAATTCAAAATCCTAACGCTGACGTACACAGCTGTCCACCATACTGCCCCGAACGACATCACTGACCTAATATCCAAGTACCGCCCAACACGTACACTCCGCTCCTCACAAGACCTCCTTCTCTCTAGTTCCCTGGTCTCCTCCTCCCATGCCCGCCTCCAGGACTTCTCCAGGGTGTCACCCTTCCTCTGGAACTCCCTGCCCCAACCCATCAGATTATCACCTACTCTCCTCTCCTTTAGGCGCACCCTGAAAACCCATCTCTTCAGGGAAGCCTACCCCACCCCCTGCTAACTTGCCGACCTCCTCCCTCTTCCTACCACTCCATCCCCCACAGCTATCTCCTCCTGTGCCACCATCCCCTCCCTCCTAGATTGTAAGCTCCAAAGAGCAGGGCCCTCAATCCCCTCGTGTTTGCATTGTATTGGTATTGTTCTGTCACATGTTCTGTCCCCCTTTGTAATGTACAGCGCTGAGCGAACTATTGGCGCTTTATAAATACTGTATAATAATAATAATAGTAAATAATAATAATAATAATAATTACACTGCAGCGTTGCTCCGGGATCCCTCCAGCACTTACCTTGTCCTGCGCTCCCGCAATGTCACCCTGCAGTGTCCCTGGCCATCTCCTCCGGCCGATGCCGGCATCCGTCTTCTGTGCGTCGGGACGTACGGGGGACAGAACTGGCGGGAAATTTAAAAATGTAAAAAGTGACATTCACTAAATACACTAAAATCACATAGTATAACATTCCTGTATCAAACCATTTCACATACATTTTGTCCCGAGTGCTTTGTCCGGCGCCCTGCCTGCATTTTTACTGTTCTTTCTGCCTGGAAACTGAGAAACGTCCATGGCGTCCAAAAAGCGTCCCTTTAGGTCAAAAGCGGTTTTAGACCGGCTAGAGAACAGCGATAGTAAATCAGAACCACTTGCAGAATTGAGTGATAATGATTCGTGGGGGAAATTCCTCATCAGACACTGAAAACGATTCTGCGACTTTGCTCAGCGATGTGTGAACTTGGCGCTCTATTTCACATTTCAGTGTTTTTGGTTTGATTATATTATTGAATTAAATTTTATTATTATTATATTATTATTTTTACGATTATTATATTTTAATTTATGATTTCGTGTTTCAAGTTTTATCATCCCCGGGTTGTTTACTAGACTCTTGTTCGGACAGATTTCACTGAGTTATTCCTAAGAATTACAGGCCTACAATAAAAAAAATACATATTTCCATGCAAAAAAATGTACCGCTTTGAGCACAGAAATATTGACATAATCAGACCGCTAGGGAGGTTAAGGAGCAGCAGTGTACACGAGGCCAAAGATGTATTATCAGGCAAAAGCCTTGACTGATTTTTCTGACTGGAGATACTCCGGGGGGTTCTAAGCTCTAGGAGAAACTGGAATTCGATCTTTGTGAGGCAGATCTCTCCATGGTCCCATGTTTCTTTAGGGCATTGGCACCCTCAGCTTCTCTGTTGACCACATCTTCTCTCACTATTTGGGAAATGTTGCATGCTCATTAATCCTGGGAATTTAACTAACCTGCCTTTACTCAATCATCGTTTCTACTTACCTAGGTCATTAGCAGGGGCGGACTGACCATTTGGAAACTCGGGCACTGCCCAAGGGCCCGGGGTCAGTAGGGGGCCCCATGAGATGCCCCTGGTACCTTTTTCATAGGCTTTTTTTGAGTTTTGGCAAGGACACAGGGGCCCCATGATCCCCTATTGCCCGGGGGCCCCATGAGTTGTCAGTCTGCCCCTGGTCATTAGATAAAGGTCATGGCTCTCTGAGCATCCACCACTACTTCAACATGTCCTTCAAGACTTTCCTATCAAATCTCCATGGACCCTCTGTGGTAGCACGAAACTTACCTTCATGGACCAGCGACGTTACCAGGGGTGGACTGACAATTTGAAAACTCAGGCACTGCCCGAGGGCCCGGGGTCAGTGGGGGGCCCCATGAGATGCCCCTGGTACCTTTTCATAGGCTTTTTTGAGTTTGGGCAAGGACACGGGCCCCATAATCCCCTATTGCCCGGGGGCCCCATGAGTTGTCAGTCCGCTCCTGGACGTTACACTCAACTTTCCCAATTTGTCCGCTCCCTACCCCAACCACTCCAACCATT